TTGGTGATCCGAACTTGATAGTTTCAAGAGGCGCGCGAATGTTTTTAGTTTTAATGTTTTGTTGATTACTGTAACTTCTGGTTTTATTAAAAAGCTATGAGACCTAAAGTACTCATTAGTAATTTTTTTGGTAGCCTGTCCTCCTTAAATTTACATCTGCATTAGTTTAGTTTATATAGTGTTATACAAGTTATGTTCATTATATGGTGGTAATTCTGTCCGTCTAATTAAACAACCTTTTGTCTACCAGGTAATCCTGATCGAGCCATCAGAAGCAGGTTGTATGGACCACTTCACAAAAAAAGGATTGGTAAGAAAAAAACATGTTCTTTTCCCTAATTATTATAATTTCTTAATAGGCTGATCTCTAATGCTGGATGACAAGGCTGCTAAGATATGGAATCAGAACGATGCCACCTTGAAACGAAACCGAAAAATGGATTGAAACCGAAAAAAAATATTGTAACTGAAATAAATGTACTGAAAAATCTTGTATTGAAACCGAAAAAAAAATTGATAGTGAAAAACAATTAATTGAAACTGTAATTTTTTTGTTTTCGCTTACAATTTTTTTTTTCGGTTTCAATCCACTTTTCGGTTTCAAACCATTTTTCAGTTTCACTCTGCTGGCACTGTTTTGGCGTACGGGGGCGCGCTGGGGGGCGGGGATTCCGACCCGCATGTATTTGCATATATTATAATGCTGACCAATGACTGGAGAAAACACTGACGACGCGGCTGCGGTCACGGACAAACTCGCACGTGTCTGTTCGGGAATGGCAGATGCCGAGAGGTCCAGCGTTTACATTACCGACTATTTCAAAGTGACAGCCTGAGGTGTTCTTCAGTAAATTGGACTACCGGACAGGAGGACCTGAGGCCCCACCGCATTATTTTTGGTAAGTTAAATGTGTTTGTAACTAATCCGTAATTTAGGTCCTTAGCTAGCTACCTAAGGACCTAGCTAGCTAAAATGAGCACTCGGCTGTCGGGGAAACTGTTTTGTAAAGTTCGTTTAGCTAACCCGTGCAGGTGAATGAATTTACCCTGACTAAAGAAATCAAGAGAAACGCACCGGGCTGCTCAGTGACTAACCACGGTTACTGTACTTTTATTATGAGTATTATACTGTAAGAGCAACGGGCTGGACTCTGCTTCTGCTCCTGTGCAGAGCTGATTATTAAATATGTGCAAACAGCAGCATGTTTTCTGTCGCTTTCCACATGTGGAAGGACATTAACGCCAACTTTTAAATTCCCCTCATTAGTCAATAGCTACGGATTAAATAGCAAAGCCCGAGACTTATGTACTGAAACCAACTACTTCCGCTTGTCCAGCTTAACTTAAAATGTTACATTTTTCCCCTGATTATTTTTTTAGCTTTTTTTTTTTTTTTTTTTTTTACTGAGTTTGTTACAAATATTCAGGTTAAAAAATGTCCAAATTATTTTTAATGAATTATGTTCACAAAGTCACATGCAGTACTCTGTACAGCTTGCATCCTTTAGGACAAATAATTTGAAACGTTAAAAAAAAATTGTAAGCGAAAACAAAAAAATTACAGTTTCAATTAATTGTTTTTCACTATCAATTTTTTTTTTCGGTTTCAATACAAGATTTTTCAGTACATTTATTTCAGTTACAATATTTTTTTTCGGTTTCAATCCATTTTTCGGTTTCGTTTCAAGGTGGCATCGTTCTGATTCCATACTAAGATAAAAGGTAATATGAGGATGATATAAATCAGATTTGGGTTTTGGGATCAGGCTTTTGACAACCTGCAGCCCTCTGGGAGCCTCTAACCCCAGCAGATTTGTGTGTTTGTATATTTAACTCTCTTTGGACATGTTGCAGTTTTAGTTGTGATGATCACTCACTAATAATAAACTAATATATAACTAATGATGTCTTTTGCTTCTTTACCATCTCTCTGTACTTGGAAGATAAACGCAACAAGTGAGCTGCCAGAGAATATTCCTGTCAAAATAATGAACAAGTCTGAGGTAACTTTGTGAAACGTTGTTTAAAAACTAGAAAATGTATTTAAATTTATGTTGGAGTGACTTATATTTGGTTAATGATAAATGTGCCCTTCTTTCATTGCAGGACATCATTGTATGTAGTTTAATGGAAGCCGAAGACTGTGATAACAAAAAAGAAAATACCTGCTTTCTACGGGAGTGTTTTAAGGACGAGAATAACATGGCAAGGAAAAAGATCTCTTCTTCTTCAAGTTTTGTTTGTTTTTTCCTGCTCAGGGGCCCGTTCTTCGTACCTCGCTAAGTAAGTTAGCTGGATTAGATTGTTGACGATTTCGCATGATCCTGGATCGTTCGGTTCCCCGAAGCTCATCCGGGACTTGCTGTCATAGCAACAGAGCCGTAAGCGTAAACCTGCTCGGGAGCAGGTTTACTTTATGTAAACAGGATTAGATCGCGGCCACGCAGGTATGTCCGCTTCATTTATACGAAAGCAACAGCGATATTCCACCACTGTTTCACCATAAATAAATAACATCAATGTAACTAAAGATAATGCAGCACTTGATCCTTTATTGATGTCACACAGATACATACAGGTCATTTCCTAAAAAAGGGAAATGTACTATTAACATTCTATTACATGTATGTGATTATTACAGATGTAATTCATATTTCAGAGTAGCAATTGTAAATTACTTCGTGTAATCAAGATGAGAGACCACGGCTATAAAAGCGAAGGTGGATTTGGGAAGCCTGTCGCAGCCATGTCCTGTCCGTATACGCGAGCAACCCATTGCGGAAGGTGCAAGATTGATAAGGAGAGTTTTCAGAATTCAGCGTATATTGCGGGACAGACAGGATCCTTTAGCTCAGCGCGACAGTGTGCTCATTGAGAGATATCGATTTTCCCGTGAGGGTATTATTTACTTAACCAACTTGTTGACGAGGGGGTGCAGGACCACCACCTGTCTTTTTTTGCTCTGCCCTTTTCTTGGTTGCTGTTATAAACAAACAACAGATTATTTCAGGGTCTCTTTCCAAGAGACGAAAAGCAATATAAGTGATAAATATTACCATTCTGTAGAATATTCTTATATTTCACTTTTACTTGTTCCCATGTTCTAGTGGGTCCTGTTGTGGCTCTAATGTGAAAGGGGATATAATATAACAATATAATATAATGTAATATAATATTGGATAATATAGTGTAATATAATAAATCTACCCTACCGCCTACTGGTGTTGGCCAGAGGGGCCGATGGCGCGATATGGCAGCCTGGCTTCTGTCAGTCTGCCCCAGGGCAGCTGTGGCTACAACCGTAGCTGCCTCCACCAGTGTGTGAATGTGAGAGTGACTGAATAGTGGCATTGTAAAGCGCTTTGGGTGCCTTGAAAAGCGCTATATCAATCCACTCCATTATTATTGTTCTTATTAAATTACTTACGAGTTTAATTTGTCAGCAACTTTCTGCCAGCCCTCTCTCCTTGCTTTTGCAGCCTTTGCAGTGTTCCCTTGCGTTTTAATTAAACTCTGAAACTCCTGAAATCCCTCACTCAAGAGTTCTTGCTCTGCTGCCGGAAAATACCGAGCACGCCCCTTCGACATTTTCGCCGACCAATCAGCGGGTTGCCGATCAATGTTTCTACTATCGATGCGTAGCCCCTTTTACGACACCCAGTGATCTACATCTCTCTTGGTGCAAATTACTGACCTCTGTCATCATTTTAAGTGGGGGAACTTGCACAATCGGTGGCTGACTAAATACTTTTTTGCCCCACTGTATAGATGCAAATCCCAGGAGATCAGCAGTTTCTGTAGTACTTACACCAGCCTTTTAAATTACCCTTCTATTCAAACTAAATATAAGTAGTGATATTGAATTTTAAATAATTAATTTGGAAACAGTCTAGAATTTCCCCAAAAATGTAATTTTATGACCGCTAACATAATTAACACATGAAAAAAAATAGCTACAAACTCTTGTGTTTACTCAATCCACCTCCACCAACAGCACCATCAAAACCTTCACCGACAACACCAACCATTGAAGCAACACCATCAACAGCACCAGCCATTGAAGCAACACCATCAACAGCACCAACCATTGAAGCAACACCATCAATAGCACCAGCCATTGAAGCAACACCATCAACAGCACCAACCATTGAAGCAACACCATCAACACCACTGCCAACAACACCAACCACTAAAGCAACACCACCAACAGGACCAGCCATCGAAGCAACACCATCAACAC